CCCCCCCACAAAAAAAGAAAGGAAACATGTTTCAGTTAGAAGTCCACCTCCAAAGAGAAAACCTGCTCCCCAGGGGTCTCTTGGGTGTGATCAGGGTGAAACAGATTGCCAAGCCTTTCTTCCACGGCACTACCAGGGGGGGTTTGAACCCCTAACGCGCCACAGCACTTTTCACCATTCAACATCAACTTCTGTTGTGGAGAGCAAACCAGGGAATACTGCATGGCTTAAATTCAGGAAAGGTGTGACTCCGGGGTCTATCCTCTAACCAGATTTACTCAATTTGTATGCTGAGCCAATCATCAGAGAAGCTGGATTATATGGCATCGGGATTGGAGGAAGGCTTGGTAACAGCCTGCAGTATGCAAATGATACCACTTGGCTTGCTGAAAGTGGTCTTGAAGGATTCGCTGATGAAGATCGATAATTACAGCCTTCACTATGGGTGACAACTCAATGTAAAGAAAACCAAAATCCTCACAACTGGACTGATAAAACAGGATAAACAGAGAAAAGACTGAAGTTGTGAAGGACTTCATCTTGCTTGGATCCACAATCACTGCTCACGGAAGCAGCAGTCAAGAGATCAAGGGATGCGCTGCATTGGGTCAATCTGCTCACAAGACCTCTTCAGAGTGTTGAAAAGCAAGGATGTGACTTCAAGCACTGAGGTGTGCCTGCTCCAGGCCACGGCGTTTTCACTCGCCTCACACGCATGTCAAAGTTAGACACTGAGTAAGGATGACCAAAGAAAAGGCAACCCATTTGAACTGTGAGTTAGCAAAGAATATTCACAGTGCCGTGGCCTATCCAAAGAACAAACAAATCTGTCTTGGAAGAATAGCCAGACTGTTTTCAGAGGCCAGGATGCCAAGACTTCGCCTCACGTACTTCGGACATGTTAGCAGGAGAGACCAGGCCCCAAAGGACATCATGCTTGGTCAAGTGGAGGGGCATTAAACAAACAAAAAAGCAATGTCCTCAATGAGATGACACCGTGGCTGCAACAATGGACTCAAACCTAAGAACAGCTATGTGGACTGTGCATTTCGGTCTCCTGTGCACAGGGTCATATGGGTCGGAAATGACTCGGTGGCAGTGAACAGCAGCAAGGGGGGAACCATGAGGGACAGAGGGAGTGAGGCGTTATCGCCTAAGAGGGACTTTCTGTTTGAGGGGAGGAAAAACTTTCAGAGGTTGACAGGAGGTATCTGCCCAACACGATGAGTGAATTGTATATTTCAAACCACGAAAACAGCAAAAATTAAAAAGTCACTTTCTGAGCGCTCTACCCCTGACCTCCCTGGCAGTCGACTGTTTCCTCGACATAGAGGTTGTCTGTGTCTCCTCCCAGGGCAGGGGTTAGGTCTGCCTGTGGCCCAAAGCCTCATGACAGTTGTTGAATGAATGGGTGCTCCAAACCCAACCCAACTCACTGACATTGAGCCTGCCTCACAGCAAGCCTGTGGGACTCCACAGGCTTCGGTGAAGCGGAGGGGCAGCAAGAGAGGAAGACCCTCAAGCAGATGGACTGGCACAGTGGCAATGGTGAGGACGGTGCGGGCCCAGGCCGAGTTTTGTTCCATTGTACACAAGGGCGCTATGGGTCAGATCCAACTCCAAGGCCCCCAACAATAATCACAACTGCTATGGGTAGAAAGCCTCGACTCTCTCCCGTGTATCAAACGGATGGTTTCGGATGGCTGACCTTTCACATTAGTGGCCCGACATGTAACTCACTACCCATCACCAGGACTCCTTAAATGAAGGCCAAGGGATATGTATGTCATCATATGGGAAAGTAAAGGGTCAGGGAGAAGAAAACGATCTCCCTGGCAGTAGATGATGTCACCCACCGATGGGGTCACTGGAGAGACAGAAGTGAGCATAAATCCGTACCTGGGGGATTCCCTTGAGCTCAAGGTACCAAGCTAGAAGGGCCTGTTTTGGAGGCTGGAAGGGTGTGGAGCCTCCAGGGCTCACTCAAGTCCAGGGTTTGAGAGGAAGATTGGGAAGGGAGTAATTAAGTCAGGGCTAGGGCCCAGGCTCTGCTTTCTAGTGGATGGGAAACTCCTAAAATCCAGGCTCAGAGCTGGGGGGAAGGGAGGGGGGGCGGTGTTGGGTTCTTTCCTGAACCCTACACCTGGCTGAGCACCCCTGGCGGGTCTCAGCGCTGTTGGCCTGCCTGGCACAGGCTCAACTGAAGAACACTGGAAAACTGGCATGTAAACAGACAGGACCCTGACACCCACCACCACCACAGCTGTGTCCCAACACCAAGTCAAATAGAACCATAGGATCGCAGGGGGATTAGTGAGGTCCAGCTAGGGGGTGTGAATGGATCAAGGTGGGGATGGAGCTTGTTTTAAAAGGTGGGCCTCACGCCCCATTTTGGAAGCCTCGAGTAGCGGGCTCCTGGGCAACTCCACGGGCGGCTCTGGGCCTCGGTTTCCTCCCCGGTGGATAATCTGGACAGGCGCAGGCCAGCAACGTCCCACCGGAGCAGGGCGCCCAGGAGGACGATGGGCGCAGGAGGCCTCCAGCGCAGAGGGGTCTGTGGGCACCTCGAGGGCGCGGCGCCCGCACAACACCCCGCCCCGCGAGGATCAGGGAAGCCTTGGGGGATAAGCGGGAAGCAGGATGTCCGCGGACGGTGGCTGCAGGCGCCCAAAGTGCCCCGAGCGCCCCGGGAGCCGCGGACGCGGCCCGCCCCCACCTTGCGCGCGCACCATAATTATAACCTCAGCCTCCCGGCGCGCTCGCAGCCGCCGCCCGTCGGGGGCGCGCATGCCCAGGCCCTCGGCTGCGGGAACGCGCCCCGCCTCCCCGTGCGCGCGGCCCGATCTCCTACCTCCGCGCCACGCCGCCGCCGAGGCCGGGCGGGCCAGCAGGCCGTGCTGGGCGGGGCCAGCCTCGCGCCGCGGGGCCGCGATGGGGGCGGAGCCCGCGCCGGGACCGCCCACACCCTGGTGTCGCCGGGTCCGGGGCGGGGCGAGCGGAGCCTGGCACCCGCCGCTGAGGTTCATAGTTCGTAACACAGCGAGTGCTGCCCTCACAGGAGGGCATGGGCGGCTCTGGGCAGCCCAGTACAGAGAGATTATTAGCAGTATTTGCATAAACGGGAAAGTGGACATCAGGCAAGCGGATCAAGGTCATTCCGATGCAAGGTGGTTGATCGGATTCGTAATCTCAAAGCTGTAAGGAGGCCCACTAGTCTCTGGCCCGGTCTTTCTTATTAGGGGCCGTGGAATCGATTTCCACTCATAAAGATCCCTAAACCCTGGCCTCGGAGAAGTGAGTCAACTCCGAGACAGACCATTGATGCCTCTCCCTCTCCACATAACCCACGGAAGCA